GCAGGTCAGTCCCGCAGTGACTCGATCCACAACTCTGTACACATCACTCTTAGAGAAAGCCTGATGCTGCTTGCTCTCCAGGTGCTGGTGGTCAGAAGGTCAGAAAAGGTGAGCACAGATGTCATGCATTTCATGCAAATCCTGGTTCAGGCCAAAATGTATAATTATTGTGTCTTTTTTTTTTTTTGACGAGAAACAGCAAATGCAAAGTGTTCATATAAACTTGACTGGCTTTCTATCATTTCCAATACGTACCACCTTTAGGTTGTCGAATTTGACCTCACAGCACTCACAGTACCCTCCTTTCCTCTTTTCTCTCCCTTCATGTCCTCTGCGCCTCTCTTTCTTTCCTTGAGCTCCTCGTTCCCCTCCAGACCTGTGGCAAAACACAGATTCTCATTCACAACACAGAAAAACAAAAAAATTACTGCATTACAAAAAGATACTACAGATTCTGATTTTACCTTTGCTCTTTGTGTCTCTTCTTTGGATCATCCTTTCCATGTTCATCCATCAGGAACGGACTGCAGGGTGGAAGAGACCGGGCGTTGCACACAGGCATGTTGGACAGGGGAAGGTAGATAGGACGATAATGCCTGCAAAAACATCACATTATTAAACCAGACAAGTAACATGAAAGTTAAAACACAAGAAAATCAAAAAAGAAAACACACCTGCTTGAGTCTTCTACTTTCACAAATGGTCGACGAATTCTTCCAGCTGGAAATATAAAACATTTTTAAAAAATGAATTAAAGATGGATATATCATCATCAACTAACATTTTTCAACTGGAAGATGCAACAAATTAAAAAGGATATTTACTATCTACTTACCATTGTGTCTGTGATATAGATTTTTCTCTGTGTGCTGAATGCTGGCCTAAAAATAAAGAGTGATAAACTGAATATATACAGAAACAACAGAATTATATGCAGCCCTGCACAGAATCTTCTGCAGCTCCACAGTTTTCACAGTAAAAGACAAACTTTATAGTTGTTCACTAAGTCCAATATTTAGAAAAGTGGTTGAACAATATGGTTTATCAATGGTTCATTTGTTAATTTTTACATTTGTGCTACAAGCATAAAACTACTCACAGCTCCTTTCACCACTGGATTAGCTGAATTCACAGCAATGATTTTTGATTTCCTCTTGTCAACATATGAAATAACATCTGTTTGGAAGCCAAGCATAAAAGACCATGTAATACTGAAACCACATCTCACTTCTTTAACAATGCAAGTATTAATAATGATTACAAAAGTAATACCGTCAACATGTAGGACTTTGACCCCCCATTCCACAGCATTTGCCAAGATCCCATTCATCTGAACACGTTCCTAAAACAGAGCAGAAAACCAGAGTACTGATAAACTACTCAAGACTGCTGCACACAGTTGATTCACAAACAAACAAGGCATGATAAGGATTGACTAACTTGTTCTTTAACGACTCTCTCCACAAGCGATTTGCCTCGACTTACAGCTGTCTGTGAAATTCCAGCATAAGACATGTCAGTGTCATTCACATATTCAAACATTTTGGATTCGTAAGGCTTTTAAGAAATTAATACTTTTATTCAGCAAGGATCAATTAAATTGACCAAAAATGACAGTAAATATATTTTCATTGTTAAAAAAAGAATTTTGAACATTCTATTCATCATAATCATAAAAAAAAACATAAAACAAATAGGTTTACAAAGGGGTGGAAAATTTCCAGTACATTTCTGGGAATTTACTGGAAATGTTCCACCCTTTTGCAACCCTAAAATCAAATATGGTTTTCCAAGAACACAAGAACTCTGACTTGATATTGAAAAAAAAAAACAATGCTGAATATCACAAATCAAAATATTTCATATTAATAAGCAATTATAAAACAATTCCAGTCCTTGAGTAGGATTGGTTGAGCCGTGTTCAAAGACATTGTAAATTATTCTAGAAATATACACCTGTGAGATTACATCAGTATTACTGGACCAGTTTTGCTGTTAGGCACGCCACTTTAAAATTTAATTGAGCATAAAAATAAGAATATTATTAACTGCATAAATTCACAATGACATTTTGAAGACTTTAAACATTTAATATAATTTAATTTTAACAATTTTAAAATGCTTAGAGTTGTTTTTTGTTTTTTTTACTTCGGAAACCCAGAAAAAAGATATATGACAGTGAAGTTGAAATGAAAAAAAAAAAAAAAGCATCCTGACTAACCGTATCTGTGACTCCCTGTGAACTGCCCCTGTGCCCATGACTTTCCCTCCTGCTGCTGGGATGAGGGGAACTGACACCTGAATCTGGACTGGGAGCAGGAGAGTCCGGCAGGAGACGCTGGGCATAACGAGCCTCTGGCTTACTGGACACAAGATACTTGATCTCCTTACTGAAGAACTTTTCCACTGTCTGGTAAGCAGAACATACAGGAGGTTACTACATCTGTGATTACATGTGCATGTTAATTAACTCCCTCTCAGGCCATCCACAATGTACAGTGCCTTGCGAAAGCATTCATACCCCTTAATTTTTTTCACGTTTTATGTCATGTCGCTGCCTTATGTTAAACTACTTTAAATGTCTTTTTTTCCACATCAATCTATACTCCACACACCATAATGACAAAGCAAAAACAGAACTGTAAAAACTCCTGCCAAAACTCGGTCCTGGAGGGCCGGTGTCCTGCAGAGTTTAGCTCCAACTTGCCTCAACACACCTGCCTTTAAGTTTCTAGTATGCCTAGTAAGAGCTTGATTAGCTGGTTCAGGTGTGTTTAATTGGGGTTGGAGCTCTTCAGGACACCGGCCCTCCAGGACCGAGTTTGGACACCCTTGTTTTGGCCATCTCAATATTTTGGTGCATTGAGCTTTTCTTCTACTCTGACGAGTCCCATGAGGCTGCTACCAGCACACTTTACTTTTTTAGGATGCTTCTCTGAAGGTGATGAGCAGTGCCTGGTTTCCTTCAAACATGATGCTTGGAATTGAGGTTCATCAGACCAGAGAATCTTGTTTCTCACAGTCTGAGGGTTCTTTAGGTGCTTTTTTGCAAATTTCAAGTGTGTTTTCATGTGTCTTCACTGAGGAGAGGATTGAGTTTGACCACACCGCCATAAAGACCAGATCGGTGGAGTGTTCCAGTGATGTTTGTCCTTCTGTATCGTTCTCCTGTCTCCACATATGATCATGGAGCTCAACTAGAGCTCATCAGCTTCTTGGTCACCAGTCTAACCAAAGCCCTTCTCCATCGATTGCTCAGTTTGGCCAGGAGGCCAGCTCTAGGAAGAGTCCTAGTTGTTCCAAACTTCTTCCACTAAGAGTAATGGAGACTACATGCCAAATCATATTCATTCAATTGAATTTGCCACAGTTTAACTTCACTCAAAGTGTAGTAACATCTACAAGTAATATGAATGCTCCTGAGCTAAATTTCACCTGTCCCAGATGAATACTTATGCAATGGAATCATTTAAGTTTTTTTATTTTTAACAAATTTGCAAAGATGTTGGGGGGGGGGAAAGCAAAAAATTTTTGCTTTTTTTGTAATTGAAAGCATTTTAACATAAGGCAGCAACATAAAATGTGAAAAAAAAAGAGTTATACTGAATACTTTTGCAAGGCACTGTAGATGAGGTAATTTCTTCATCAGAACAGATTTGGTGAAATTAAACAACTGGAATCGTGTGGATTACAGTTGTTTTTATCTGTTGTTTGAACTGTCATTCTGACAATACACATTCACTGCAGAGGATCCATTGCTAAGCAAGTGATGTAATGCTAAATATCTCCAAATCTGTTCTGATGAAGAAACCAACTCATCCACATCTTGGATGTCATGAAGGTGAGTACATTTTCTTTCTTTTTTTTGAAGTTCCAGACTGTTAGAACTGTTAGAAGAACTCTTACAGAGAAACTGATATAAAACATCTAATACACTGTTTAAATGAAGCAGAAAATTCAGTCTTGTTTACATCAACAGAAGTGAACACAAGTACACTGTATACAACGCGAAGCTTATTAAATTAGTCTTTAATAAGTTTCTAAAGCAAAGACAGCTGTCTAATTTTAATAATTTAAAGGGCATTCTCTTCCTGCACGTGAAAAGATTTATATTTCGCACACAACAGCCTCAATGACCATAAACAATGACTACTTACACCACCAAGTGTTTTGATGTCATTTTCCAAGAGTTGTGTTTTCATATTCCATGGCAGATCCAAGTAAAATATTCTCCCTTTAAAAGGTTTGTTCTGAAGAGCATCACGTGTGGGTTTAATTTTACTTTTAGATGTTGCACTATTGTTTCCGTCCAGTTTTGAATCTGTGAAGATCAATATTGCGCAACAAGACTGTTATAAACAACATACACACATATTCACTGTAACGTTACTGAACAGCATGAGCGTGGAAGTTTCCTAAAGCATTATTTCCAAAGGATACTATTACGAAAAAGAGCTCATTGAAAAAAAATTATCAAAAGCGATAAACAGCACAGCACCTCTGTCCTTACACTTGGAGAAAGACTCGTGCTTCATCATGGAGCTTATACTTCTGACGGTTACAACCCTAAACCGGCTAGTTATCCCGCCAACATTACTTATACGTGTTCCTTGATTAAAACACTAAACTAAAAACACAACACTGCGTTAAATGCCTCTATTGTTTATAAATATCTTCATAACAAACACTCGACGCAGCCCGTTTCCATTTTCCCGCTCGAGACTCTCTCCACTCCCACCAAAGCTGTTGTAATCTTGGAGTTCATGAAGGGAGATTCGACGTATATTTTTTGACATTTCAAAAACGACGCCACAAAGCGCTGACATTTGAGCGTCAATTACACCAATATAAACAACTTGAGTTTTATGCGGAACATACATAAGAAAAAGAATGTTAAGAATACAAAATATGATTTCGCTACTCCGTTACGTCCACGAGTGCTCTATTGTGACCAATGGCGAAATTTAAATAGCCGGAAGCTTCGAATCTGCCGGTGCGAAACACACCGGTACACAAACACATAAGCGCAATGGCGCACACTAGTGCAGTAGCGTGGAACTCCTAATGAGTCGTGTGAATTCATTCGTATCTTTGGACTGCGTTGGTGACATTGTTTTTTTTCTGTCGGGGTTACATAGTCTTTGCTGTTTGCGTCATTTGGAAATTCAGTTGTAATGATAATTGATAAAGATCAATGGAATAAACCCGGTTTATATGTTCAGGTGTATTAGGAACAAGGTACAGTAGGTGAGAGCTTGTTCAACAAGTTGCATTTTTGGCACATGGCAGCCACCCAGTAAAGAGTGAGGCAAACGGAGTTTGTACGTCCAGATTCATCGGAACTTTGATCGGTACATCGCAGGCTTGGAGATGAGCTCTCAGAAAAGTTCTTCAGGCCCCAGGGGGGGCATTACACCCGTCCAGCAGATGATTGCGTCTTGCTCTGGGGCAATTATTACGTCACTGTTTGGTAAGAGACCATGGATTTAATCTACGATTCTCTAATATACGGAAAAATATATATGAACTTATTCCCTTCAGAACGCAACGTGGGTCAGAATGATGTAGTCTGATGCGTATTTTCGTAACACTATATATTTTGTGAATGGACTATTAATTTAATGACAATAAATGTATAATTTAATTTGATGTGTTTCTTGTTAAAAGTACCGTAAAAATACTATACTGTAAATTGGTCTGGTAAGTGACAACTTAATATTTACTTGTTACTAAATACACATTTGGATATTATATTTAATATAAATTATGTAACTACATAAATAAAATATTCTATGTATTGAACGATTTACTTCCATGTGTTCAGATGACCCTGGGCTGGTTGTGGTGAAATACACACACATTTTGTTTAGATCTTACCTGTGTGCCTATACCGGTTCTCGAACTCGCGACCTTTGGGTTACGAGTCCAACTCTCCAACCAGTAGGCCACGACTTCCCTGGTCGTGATTTTTAGTAAAGGACAATATCAGGTTAAAGTGAATCTATTAATCTAATAGTCTAGAGTCAAATAGGAGTTTATTAATAGTCTGTACCATGTCTTTGAAATATTTCTTAAAAAGTACACAGTTTTGACGGCTTGCCAGTTTAAGTATGTTTTAAATTGCGAGTAGGCCTGTCACGATAACATCTTTTTGTTGTGCGATATATTGCCCCAGAAATAATTGCGATAAGCGATATTATTGTCATTTTAAAGACCATTTTATGCCACTGAATATATAATCATAATGCAACAGCATAATAATGCAAGAAGGCCTACACACTTCCAAATGACAACAAACTATTAATTTTTAATAATATTTAGCTCATGGAAATTAAGTATCAAAATATTAGATGCCTCAAAAAACTTGAATAAATAGTAAACATTTTCTAACAAAAAGTGCAAAGTAACAAGTAGAAAAAAAGAAAAATGCACAAAGAACTTTTGAAAGAACAGATTTTTTCCTTTTCTCTGAAAATTAAGGGTGCACACTATTTCTGAAAAACACAATCACTACTTCGCAGTCAGATGTCCGTATGCACAAAGGCACAGATCCCTAAACAAGGCCATATCTGCAGATGAAACTTTGTTTGTAGAAGCATTTTTAAAATTTGAACTAGCACCTCATGACTACACCACGTTATGTACGAGAAGCTGCAAAAGACACAGGCGCAAGTGGAATGTACAAAACATGGTGACATTAATTTTCAAGTAAATATAATGGGCGATATATTGCGTCACCAAAAATGATTGAGGTCATGTACATATATTGCGCGATATATTGATTAGTGCGACAGGCCTAATTGCGAGGGGGGAGTAATGACTGCTGAAAATTCACCTTTGCCATCACAGGAATACGGTATACTTTAAAATACATTCAGATAGAAAACAGTTGTTGTAAATTGTAATTATATTTCAAATAGTACTGATTTCTGTATTTTTGATCAAATAAATGCAGCCGTGGTAATCATAAGAAACGTCGGTCTTTCAAAAACATAAAAAAATCGTACAGACTCCAAACTTTTGAATGCAAGTTTGCAGACACGTTCACCTATTTATTAAAATATGACTATTTAATTATAATTCTGTTTTCTTCATGTTCACAGTAACACCTCTGGATGTGGTGAAGATCAGACTGCAGGCACAAAGGAATCCTTTTCCCAAAGGTAAGCTTAAGCAGTTTTCTGTTCAAATGAAGTCAAACCTCACTCACTCATTTTTTGATGATGATTTGCAGGAAAATGTTTTGTGTACTGTAATGGCCTGATGGATCATATATGCGTCTGTGAGAATGGCATTTCAAAGGCATGGTACAAAGCACCTGGCCATTTCTCCGGCACTTTGGTAAGCTAAACCATATACAATTGTGACGTGAATACAGTTTCTCTTTACCTGTGATGTTTTTTAAATATATAAATATTACTGATAGGTTTAACTCATTCAGACACTGTTCTTCTGTTCCAGGATGCCTTTATTAAGATTATACGCATGGAAGGAATCAGGTCTCTGTGGAGCGGCCTTCCTCCAACACTGTGAGTTACGTATCTGCTGTCCGAACCCAACTGACCTTTGCTGGGACGCAAATAATGAGATGCATTTCCCTTCATAGAGTGATGGCAGTGCCTGCGACTGTCATCTATTTCACATGTTACGATCAACTATGTGCTGTTCTCAAGCTCAGGATGGGTGACCGATCAGATTATGCGCCGCTGTTTGCCGGTGCCATCGCGAGAGGTAACGTTTAACCCTGTTGATTAAGTGTTTGACCTTTTCTCCGCATGCTGACCTTCTATATCAAAGTGTGCCTGGCTTCACATGAGATTTCTGCGTGTGTCAGTGGGGTCGGCTACAGTAATCAGCCCCCTGGAGCTGATCCGCACTAAAATGCAGTCTGAGAAGCAGTCGTACCGTAGAAGCATTTTTAAAATTTGAACTAGCACCTCATGACTACACCACGTTATGTACGAGAAGCTGCAAAAGACACAGGCGCAAGTGGAATGTACAAAACATGGTGACATTAATTTTCAAGTAAATATAATGGGCGATATATTGCGTCACCAAAAATGATTGAGGTCATGTACATATATTGCGCGATATATTGATTAGTGCGACAGGCCTAATTGCGAGGGGGGAGTAATGACTGCTGAAAATTCACCTTTGCCATCACAGGAATACGGTATACTTTAAAATACATTCAGATAGAAAACAGTTGTTGTAAATTGTAATTATATTTCAAATAGTACTGATTTCTGTATTTTTGATCAAATAAATGCAGCCGTGGTAATCATAAGAAACGTCGGTCTTTCAAAAACATAAAAAAATCGTACAGACTCCAAACTTTTGAATGCAAGTTTGCAGACACGTTCACCTATTTATTAAAATATGACTATTTAATTATAATTCTGTTTTCTTCATGTTCACAGTAACACCTCTGGATGTGGTGAAGATCAGACTGCAGGCACAAAGGAATCCTTTTCCCAAAGGTAAGCTTAAGCAGTTTTCTGTTCAAATGAAGTCAAACCTCACTCACTCATTTTTTGATGATGATTTGCAGGAAAATGTTTTGTGTACTGTAATGGCCTGATGGATCATATATGCGTCTGTGAGAATGGCATTTCAAAGGCATGGTACAAAGCACCTGGCCATTTCTCCGGCACTTTGGTAAGCTAAACCATATACAATTGTGACGTGAATACAGTTTCTCTTTACCTGTGATGTTTTTTAAATATATAAATATTACTGATAGGTTTAACTCATTCAGACACTGTTCTTCTGTTCCAGGATGCCTTTATTAAGATTATACGCATGGAAGGAATCAGGTCTCTGTGGAGCGGCCTTCCTCCAACACTGTGAGTTACGTATCTGCTGTCCGAACCCAACTGACCTTTGCTGGGACGCAAATAATGAGATGCATTTCCCTTCATAGAGTGATGGCAGTGCCTGCGACTGTCATCTATTTCACATGTTACGATCAACTATGTGCTGTTCTCAAGCTCAGGATGGGTGACCGATCAGATTATGCGCCGCTGTTTGCCGGTGCCATCGCGAGAGGTAACGTTTAACCCTGTTGATTAAGTGTTTGACCTTTTCTCCGCATGCTGACCTTCTATATCAAAGTGTGCCTGGCTTCACATGAGATTTCTGCGTGTGTCAGTGGGGTCGGCTACAGTAATCAGCCCCCTGGAGCTGATCCGCACTAAAATGCAGTCTGAGAAGCAGTCGTACCGAGAGCTGAGCGCCGTGATCCAGTCAGCGCTGCACAACCAGGGCTGGCGGTCTCTGTGGAGGGGTTGGGGACCCACGCTGCTCAGAGACGTCCCATTCTCAGGTCAAACACTCACAGCCTACATATCACAGACTTCACATTTTGAAGCACTTGATTTATAAACACAAGACTCAAAAATACAAAACCGAATATAAAACTGAATGTAATTTTTAATGAAGGTTTTTGAAACGCCAATGATATACTTTACATTATATTCTATAAAATTATTGCATTCTATAATTTATTTATATAAACTTTATAATAGGGCTGCACGATTAATCAAATGCGATTGTCATGTGCATTTTGATAGTAATGCCGGTTCTGTAATCAGCAGTAAATCATCATCACGTGCTTTCAGATGGAGCAGCATTTACTACACAGAGCCGTAGTTCACTGACATGTTACGCCAAAAAAATCGCATACGATTTTATTGCGCGATTATGAAATTGTTTGCGACTATGACAGCTGTTTGCATAGCTTCTCAGTGAACTACGGCTCTGTGTAGTAAATGCTGCTCCATCTGAAAGCATGTGAAAATACCACATTTAATAACATATTTTTACTCCAAACACACTTCATAACGTCAGTCGAGTGTTTGAAATAAATCCTTCTGTGAGATGATGTGGCTTCTTACACAGAATAAGGCATGCAACATATTTCATAGTATTTAAGCAGTGATAAAGGCATTGCATTATAAATATACTTTATTTGAATGAAAATTATAATAATAATAACTCAGATAAACCATATATTGTCATAATCGTGTGTTTATTAGTCATGTTGAATCAATGAAAGCAGTTAAATCTTCTGTTTATTCAGCTGCAGCTATAGGCATTTTCTGGGTTTCTTCTGCGAGGCGTATTTGGAGTTTCAGCATGAGAGCGCCCTCTGGCCTTTGGATGGAGATTTACTGCTGATCACAGAACCGTGCTTCACCGAAAGATACGCATGACAATCGCAGCTTCAGTCGAATCGCGATTTCGATTCCATTTCAATTTATCGTGCAGCCCTACTTCATAATAAGGTCTTCCTCCTATAGACTTGTTTGCGAAATGTCCAGCTCTGTATTTTTGCATTACTCCATATTACTTTGTTGCTTTCATTTTTTTAAAAATGTAAGCAGTCTTGCCCACTGATTGCCAAACAAATTTTGGGGTCATATTTTTTTTTATTAATTTCTTTTATGAATGCATTAAATTGATCAAAAGTGCCAGCAAAGATATTTGTTAAAATTTCAAATAAACACTGTTCTTTTGAACTTTCTATTCATTAAAACAAAACTATATATCACAGTTTCCACAAAATTATTAAGCAGCGCAACTGTTTTTAACACTGATAGTTAGCATATTCCGCATTCAGCATAATGAGCATATTAGAATGATTTCTGAAGATCATGTGACACTGAAGACTGGAGTAATGATACATTTTAACATATATTAAACTATAAAGCAGTTGTTTTAAAAGGTAATAATATTTCTAGTGCTGTCAAACGATTAATTGCATCCAAAATAAAAGTTTTTGTTTACATAATGTGTGTACTGTTTATTTATTATGTATATATAAATACAAACATACAGTATATATTTAGAAAATATTTACATGTGTATATACATAATAAATATACAGTGCACACACATATTATGTAAACACAAACTTTTATTTTGGATGCGATTAATTGTTTGACATCACTAAATATTTCACAATACTACTTATTTTACTTTATTTTTTATCAAATAAATACAGCCTTGGTGAACATCAAAGTTATTTTAGTGTCATTGTGATAATATTATAGTTTTTATTCATATTTAAATACGTTTTTATTTTTATATTTTCTGTTTTAATTTAATCAAAGTTTTATTATTTTTGTTGTGTTTTTTATTTTTATTATTTTTTAAGCATTCTATGCAATTTTTTTTTATTCATTTTTATTTCAGTTTTAGTTATTTTAGTACATCAAACTTAACTAAATGATAATGAGAAATGTAGCTGATATTATTATTATAAATTCTTATAATATTTATTTCAGTTAAACGTTTAAAACGATCACAAAAACCGTAAAAAAAAGGGGGGGGGGCGATGGTTATAGTTTATTTTATTTCAAGAACAAAAGTTTTTTGTGGTTTTAGTTAACTGTAATAACCCTAGTGAGCATAAAATGTCTTTCAAAAACTTAAAAAAATCTTTCCAACCCAAACTTTTGAACAGAAGTACACCACGGAATAGCAGAATGTTTTCCATTTGACCATATTTTTAAGGGGTCTTCACATCACTGTTTGAATGTGTATTGTTTGCTGCTGTTTCCTAATTTTTTATCTGACTTTCTATTTTTCCTCAGCTATGTACTGGTTTAACTATGAGAAGGGTAAAGCCTGGCTCTGTCAATACTACAACTTTACAGATCCTACCTTTGCCATCACGTTCACAGCTGGAGCGCTGTCTGGATCAGTGAGTTTGTGATTTACATCTGTATCATCAGAGCTCTCATGGGCCTCATTTACTGGTATTTAATGCATGCATACAGTATAGTGTCCAATGTAATCCCATCACTCTAAGCATATTTTGAAATATCCAGGATGTTTGGCCGCATTGCATTTGTATTGTAAAAAAAAACGTGCCCTAATATGTCGAATAGCTGTATAAGCACCTGTATTTTCTTGTTTCAGTTTGCATCAATCGTCACATTGCCGTTTGATGTGGTCAAGACAAAACGACAGGTAGAACTGGGTGAACTGCAGACAATGAAATGTGAGTATTCAGGTGAAATTATGTAAATATGGTTTCCATAATTGGGATTCAGAGCTTTGGTTTGACTTGTATAATCAAATCAGAATATGACATTAATGTGCAGTATTATCTGTGTAGTGTCCACACAAGTCTCATCCAGCACATTTTATGTGATGAAAAGGATAGTTGCTGAAAATGGAGTATCAGGACTATTTGCAGGTAAATATATAAGTTCATATAGAACACACACTACTGTTCTAAAATCTGGGATCAATAAGATTAATATACCACTTATTAAAATTGTGAAATATTATTACAATTTAAAATAAATGTTTTCTATTTTAATGTAATCTAAAATGTAATTTATTTCGCGTTTTTATTTTTATATTTTCTGTTTTAATTTAATCAAAGTTTTAGTATTTTTGTTGTGTTTTTAATTTTTATTATTTTTTAAGCATTCTATGCAATTTTTTTTATTTCATTTTTATTTCAGTTTTAGTTATTTTAGTACATCAAACTTAACTAAATGATAATGAGAAATGTAGCTGATATTATTATTATAAATTCTTATATTTATTTCAGTTAAACGTTTAAAACGATCACAAAAACCGTAAAAAAAAAGGGGGGGGGCGATGGTTATAGTTTATTTTATTTCAAGAACAAAAGTTTTTTGTGGTTTTAGTTAACTGTAATAACCCTAGTGAGCATAAAACGTCTTTCAAAAACTTAAAAAAATATTTCCGAACCGAAGTACACCACGGAATAGCAGAATGTTTTCCATTTGACCATATTTTTAAGGGGTCTTCACATCACTGTTTGAATGTGTATTGTTTGCTGCTGTTTCCTAATTTTTTATCTGACTTTCTATTTTTCCTCAGCTATGTACTGGTTTAACTATGAGAAGGGTAAAGCCTGGCTCTGTCAATACTACAACTTTACAGATCCTACCTTTGCCATCACGTTCACAGCTGGAGCGCTGTCTGGATCAGTGAGTTTGTGATTTACATCTGTATCATCAGAGCTCTCATGGGCCTCATTTACTGGTATTTAATGCATGCATACAGTATAGTGTCCAATGTAATCCCATCACTCTAAGCATATTTTGAAATATCCAGGATGTTTGGCCGCATTGCATTTGTATTGTAAAAAAAAACGTGCCCTAATATGTCGAATAGCTGTATAAGCACCTGTATTTTCTTGTTTCAGTTTGCATCAATCGTCACATTGCCGTTTGATGTGGTCAAGACAAAACGACAGGTAGAACTGGGTGAACTGCAGACAATGAAATGTGAGTATTCAGGTGAAATTATGTAAATATGGTTTCCATAATTGGGATTCAGAGCTTTGGTTTGACTTGTATAATCAAATCAGAATATGACATTAATGTGCAGTATTATCTGTGTAGTGTCCACACAAGTCTCATCCAGCACATTTTATGTGATGAAAAGGATAGTTGCTGAAAATGGAGTATCAGGACTATTTGCAGGTAAATATATAAGTTCATATAGAACACACACTACTGTTCTAAAATCTGGGATCAATAAGATTAATATACCACTTATTAAAATTGTGAAATATTATTACAATTTAAAATAAATGTTTTCTATTTTAATGTAATCTAAAATGTAATTTATTTCTGTGATGCAAGCTGAATTTTCAGCATCATTACTCCAGTCTTCAGTGTCACATGATCCTCAGAAATCATTCTAATATGCTGATTTACTGCTCAAGAAATATTTCTTATTATTGTTGAAAAAAGTTGTGCACTATTGAAAACAATATATTTTTTGTGGAAATTGTGACACTTTTTCACAAATCTTTGATGTATAGAAAGATCCAAAGAACATCTATTTGAAATATAATTTTATTATATTTATTTTATATTATTTATTTTATTCTATAATTGTACTTTTTTGATATATATTGATTGGAGGAAAAAATAAATAAATATATATATATATAATTATATAATATATATATATATGCACATATTTGGAGCCATGATTTTCAAATCACCACTAGATGTCTCAGCAGCACAGCTCAGATTTCTCTCTGTCTCTTATCCTCAGGTTTTCTGCCGAGGCTGATTAAAGTGGCTCCGGCGTGTGCTATAATGATCAGCACATATGAGTTCGGAAAAGCTTTTTTCCGCAGATACAACCAGAAGAAACAGAGGGTAACGCAACTACAGCCCAGCACGTGACCTCGCACACCAAACCACTGATTTAGAAGAACACTTGATCACAGACCTTTGTTAAGATTCAGTAAATTAACCACAGATTACTCCACAAATTTCCCCAACATGCTATCATTTGTGCTGTGTCTGTCTAAAAGAGAGATTAGCTTATAGAGTTGCTGTGAAATAAATCAGTATTTACTTTCTTTAGTAAATATTTAAAAGTAACAGAGCATCTTCCACTTAGGTTAAATTATTAAAAATATAATAAATAATAAAAGTATAGTTTAATATTTGAGTTTTTAAATTTATTAATTAAAAAAGGTCAAGAAACATACCCCCTTTTTGTTTTAAATTGACACTAAATGTATTCCCATCAGACATGATTGTACTTGTAATCTGTTTTCTACCTGTTCAGGCTGGTTGACTTTTAATTGTTAGTTAAATGTCTTAGTAGTGTTTCAGTCATGTATTTTCGAGGTTTGTGTTAAAAGAAGTCAGTGTGTGCAAATGGTGCCAAAAATGAGACCGATGAGGGGATTTGAATTTTTCTGTACTTAAATAATTGATTTTCTAATTGTTGATTAATATATTTCTTGACCCAATGCCTAACAATTAAGTATGAATATTCACAACTTTTTAAATTTCACTGTATGTCCTCTGCTTTTTAAGTGCTTCAATAATGAAGAATGATTTCAAATTTGTCTCGATTTCTTTATTCAGTCCAAAATATTGTCTCTAGTTATTTTAATTAGATTTACAGATTTATGTTGCTTGAACCAGGAGCGCATAAGATCTTATGCGATGTACAGAATTGTAATCTATTCACCTTCCATTTCCAGTGTGATGAAAAAAATCAGAATTTCAGCAATCTCTTTTTTTACATTCAGTTTTTGCACAATTGCAATTAATTTATATTGATAACACCAGACTAAACATGCAACATGAGGTTGTGTGACAAATGTTGAATGCATACAAAGTGCTCTGTAAGCTAGTATTCCATTGCACACATAGCCAATGAGACAAAACCAGCATTCAGCCAAGCCTGTATTTACATTAGAATTTATTGAAAAAAACATTGTCATAGATGAGGACATAAAGTAAAATTTGACTAAACATATTGAGGCTGAATTATAATTAGCGGAATATATGATATTCATCTCAGTGTGCCCTCATTATCCTCACCCCATTTATTTCCGTCACCGTGCAACAGAAAATTAAAGAAAGAAAAGCTCAATCACAAAAACAGATTTCAAAGCATTGAGAAACAATATACATTCAAAAATGTCTGTAAAGGCGACAATTCTGCAGAGTTTCAAACAAGTGTTAACTTTTCTCTAAAACTCTTGAAACTGAAAAGTAATACTGAAATGCATTTCCTTCATTCCACTCTACACATTTAATTGCACATTTTAGATCAAACAGTGCTGTAAGAATCTAAAAAAAAAACCTTGAGATGCACATTTAGATGTACTGGCTTCTGAAAAGACGAGCTCTGAACAGTGTAAAACATGCATTTCTGCAGTACTGAACTAAAGTCACACACAGGCAGACGAGACATTCTTCAACACTAAGAACATGGATATTCAGCAAGGCAATGTTTGAGATGACAAGACTATTTTTGATGAGCGGCAACAAAGGGAATTCTGCATGTGTTTCCCTGGAATTTCTGTTATGACTGTACTGATGCTCATGAGTAATCATACACATTTCTTAACACTTTAAATTATTTTTACATATAATCCATGGCTTGGCATGCCTCTTAAACTGATTTTATAAACAGGTCTGTTTTATGATCAAATCACACTAGTAATATTTAATGGAATTTTTTAAAATAATTATCAGCAGCAGTATTAGGAGTATTCAACTTGAACTTCAAACACAACTTTACTAATTAATTCTACAATTAAACCTTACATTTAAATAAAAATGGGATTAATCAATGGATTAACAATTAATTAAATACTGCACATTAATTATGACATTCTAGTTTTGTAATCAAATTAACCACACAAAAAAGCCCTATAATGAAGAGAACTGTGGCTGATGAAAAGTATGGAATTGACATAAAAAAATTGGCTTTGAAGTCAATATATTATTTATGTCCATGTCATTGAACATCACTGGTCTATTGTCCACAGCCTCATTATACAGTCAAAAACAATGTGGTACTATAAGCTTGAATTGCTCTGGAGGTAGGAAATTACAGCATTTACATACAAATTAGAAGAAATGATTAACTATAATAATTTTTTAGTCTTACGTTTTTATAATTAATCCCATTAAATTGACAAAACTAGTTCAGACGTTATTCCGTTAAAGATCTTTGATTATGAATACATTCTTGTTCCAGTCCAATATGCAACATTTTTTGTAATCTTCTTTATGCTTTACACCAGTGCACATTAGCCACTATCTGAGAGTGACGGTGGGGGGGGGAAATGCAAAACCAATGTTTGAGTGCTGTATGATTATGTAAATCACAGAACTGATGAATATGGAAGACCTCTCCATGTAAGAGGACAGAGTGAATCTCAAACACTTTAGTTAAAAGCCAGAGACGAGAACTAAATGTAATAGCATCCACATCCAGCACACCAGAGAAATGTCTGAAATCATATTCCTCTTACTCCCTAAAAAGACAAATGAAGGCAAGTGAACAAAGCAGTATTGTTGTTCACATTTCTGTCATAATCGGATTTAATATTATTATGGCTCCAGTTTTCCCCGTTCTGATATGAAACAGGCACTTCTCACAATTTAAACAATTTCTGATGGATACAATTAGGTTAAAGTCCTAAATATTGTTCTTACTGAAATTTCACAGCTATATATGTTAATATTTTGAAAGCTGTTAAAAATTGTTTAAAATGTATTTTACTTGGCATGTCAAATTTAAAAGTTAATTTTTATGTGTAGAGAGGGGCTAGATTAATTACAATAATTGATGTAATTTATAAAAATAAAATAAAATAAGAAATGGAACTAAAAAATGAAATGTAATATTTAAAATAAAATAAAATCGTCAGACAAGAAGTTAAATCAAAGTTAAAATACAATAAAATATTAAAGTAAATAAAACTGTAAATCTAACATTTAAAATCAAATCAAATCAAACTTTCCAAAAACAGCAGACATTTGAACAACATCAGATAAACAAAATTTCACAAACAGCTGAAATTCACTGATGTCCTGAGTCAAGATTGTCATTCATCATGATACATTATGCTCAATATTCACTAATGCTAATGCCTACACTAGCTATGGACTTTTAATGACCAAATGTACACATCTAAAAATGAAACTGCACTTCAAATTGAACTAAAACCAGTCAGGACAGCACTGGAGTTTCATCTTGTCTAGCTGAAATGTCTCTGAGGATGATACCGATAGGTAGATATCTGTTTCTTCACTTCAATTCGAAAGCCACACCATCTGAAGCAGGCCGGTGTGTTTGTGTATGTGTTTATATGCCCCTACTTGTCTCTCAGGACGGAGTGAGTCCTGGGCTGGTCATGTCTGTTGTTGGACTGGCCAGATACTCGCTGGACTTCAGACTGGCCAGAGATTTGTAACTGGCCATTGAGGTTAAGGAACCACACAAACCCCTCAGAGACGGAGTATCCTCTTTCCCTGTGAACACACAAGCACACATGCACACAGTAGTATCACTGATGTCCTTTCACACATGAGCGAGGATGATATTATTGAACAGACAAAAGGCAGAGCAGTACACACAACATCTGAGCAATAGATGGAGCAATAGTTGTTGTTTTTAATTCAAAATAAAACTATTCAAAATTGAGTTGAGTAATTAAAATCAAGCTGAAATGTAAGTGTTAGACGAAAACTAATAGTTACCAAGGCAACATTTCTAATTTTTACGTTTTCAAATACTAAAATTACTCAAATATAATAAAACTGCATTAAAGCTAAATAAAAAAGGGGAACACAATAAAAAAAAGCACATACAATTACTAAAACCTAAACTGAAATACTGAAAATATAAATATACAAGCTTATTCAAAATATTAATAAATACTATAATCGAATATAAATAATATTAAAATAACTCGAGATACTCTAACCACCCCACAATGCATTGCTCTCAACCTGACTGTTAAATGATGAATGTTGACAAGTGAACAAACCAAAATCAATTATCAACTGTGATTTAAGCACTTTTTTAAAAACACAATTGAATCATATTTTGCATATTTTAGGACCATTAACTGTTTTTGTGTTGTATTATTTACATTTTGTCACTCTTTTCAGTTCTCGTTACTGCAAAAATGTCATTATTAATTAGAAACATTTATTTATACAAGATTTAAGTGTTTTATACATTCGATTATAGTTGTACTGCCTTTATGCTAATTTTCATTTTTGAGAAATTCTTTTGAGAAGATTTTTTTAATTGAAACTCCAAACTACATAAATTCTTAATTGTCTTAAAATATGCCTCATTTCCTTTGAGAAAAATGTAATTTCCCATTTTTCTTCTTTTTATTGTGGGGGGTTTCGTGAGATTAACACAAATATTGAGTTACTCAGGTGGAGTAAGGACCCTTCCATTGTGAAATGACATCTATAATAGAGCTGGTTATCAGAGGATGAAGTCACCATAGCGGACACACACACACACATCACAAACCTTCTCTGTGCCAGTGTGTAAGTCCTGCCTTGCTTTCCAGACTGTGTGTGTTCAGTTGTGCTGGCTCCAGAGACATCTGAGAGATACTCATATCTGCAGAAAGCTGCTCCAAACTCTGGAAGCTTTTCCTGTGCTCACACACAAATAAAGAACATGTACAAGTCACAAATGAAAAATAAATCAATTGTGTGTGTGTGTGTGTGTGTATATATATATATATTACAATGTGATGTCATACTAAAATTATGAAAAGAAAACTATATGTTACTATATGTAAATGAAAAAACTTAATATAATAATATTTCCTTAACATTTTAAAAAGTATATCTTGCTCAGGGTTAGGGTTTATCTAACGTCTATCTTTTAATAATTTAGATTTATTTTTTTATTTTAGAACATTAAGATTGAGAACATTAAGATTTTATTTAAATTGTGACTGTATATTATGTAAATAAATACATAAAAAAATTTAATATTGAGTAATATTCCTATTACTGTTATGTGAAAAAAATATATAAAAACAAGAATATTTATATATCATGATAGTATTTGTGCTGATTTCATTTATGCTGATTTACAGTACATAAAAACTATAATGCGCTAAACAATAGCATTTAAGTAATGAAAATCTAACAAGAATCACTACTGACAATAATATAAGTCTACACACATGACAGCAATAAAAAATTGGGGAGGAAATGTGCTTAATTGTCATGAAAACTATGTAATAAAATAATTGAAAATAACATTATATGTTTCCATCACAAACACCACTGAAGTTTGGGTTACAATTAGATCAGCCCATTTAATAACCTCTGTGGGTTATCAATACATGAGAGCAATTGCTGTAGGAAGCATGCCAATACTGTAATGTGATTCGAGAGCTGCAGACGCGAGCTAAAACTAGAGCCTGAGAGCCTTTGCTTCCTGGATCATTCGCTGAGCACCAGCAACTCGACTGGAATCCAATATGAGATGAGTTGCTGTGTGAAGCTGCATGTATCTCATAAGGACGTGCGTAATCTGAGAGGATACATTGACGAGATACAAAAACAGAAAGCACATACTCTTCCCATGGTGCTGTGCGTTTCCTGTACAGGAGCGTATCCAAGGCAACTGCATTAGAATCCAAGGCACCAGGTGAGGGCCATTGGTTTGTCAGGTGCGAGGTGAGCTCCTGTCTGGAGCGAAGGTCATGGTTCTTCATCACCGTCCTGGAGAAACAAACATTATCATTTAAAGAGACAGTGCTAAAAAGCTGAAAAAGCAGTATATGTACTAGGGCTGCACGATCCGTTTTTTTATTCACAATCGCGATTTCTGCTACTCTTGATTAATTCAATATAATTAATCTGGACACTTTTTTATCATGACTATCAATTTAACCATTGTGCAGCCCTAATTTATACAGCAGGAAATCAACCCGGCTAAAATTGTACCTCCTATCACACAAACACCTGCCCAAACCTTCTCCAAAATCCATCTTTATCAACAAGTCACTGATCAAAGCCTAACATCTGAAACATGGCAATCAGCATCAAAAATTCTTTAGTCTTTAACCTCAGCAATTGGATTTCAAAACTGACTACTCAGCTGAAAAATCACTAATAGTGGTCTGCGAACACTCACGGACATCTGTATTGATTCGCACAGATGGTCCGTAGCAGCTGATACAGAGAAACACAAACAGCTTCGCATGTACAAAGACGTACTTGCATCTACTGAGATAAACAACATATAAGCAAGTCAGCTTAAAAAGTTTATCTTTTATAACCGAATCCAAGCAGCTATTGCCAGACACAGATTTAAGACCCTGTTCTATTTCTGCAATGCAGCGAATGAACATCATGATCCAATTAAACACCTGACCATGAGCGATGTCTTTCCAGATCAAACTAGATGACTATAATGAAATACTAACTAGCATACTGCACACTGCACAATATACACTACTGTACAACAGTTTGGGGTCGGCAATATTTTTTTATTTTTTTTTAACGTTTTTGAAAAAAGTCCCTTATGCTCAGAAAGGCTGCAAATATTTGATCAAACATACAGTAAAAACAGTAATATTGTGAAATATTATTACTATTTAAAATAACTGTTTTCTATTTGAATATATTTTCAAATGGAATTTATTTCTGTGATAGCAATGCTGAATTTTCAGCATCATTACTCCAGTCTTCAGTGTCACATGATCCTTCAGAAATCATCCTAATATACAGTTTTTGCCGTTTATATTTTTGTGGAAACTGTGAAAACATATATCTTTTCAGAATTCTTTGATGAATAGAAGAAATAGAAAACTTGATTTATTTATTTATCTATTTTATCATTATAAAGGTATTTACTGTCACTTTTAATCAATTTAATGCATCCTTGCAGAAAAAATGTAATTCCTTTCAAAAAAATAAAATATTTTTCACTTTGTAGATATAGATAGATAGATAGTTTGCGAACAAACACATTCTCCCATCAGTCTCTCCTCTAGTCTTTCATTCATTCCTCCAGTCCAACGATCAAATCCTCTCTCTGCTTACATGCTGCAATCATCTATTAACGTATTTGCGTCTGTCTCCATAGCAACCCTGCTCTGGTCGAGCTGCTGACGTCTCCTCGAGCACACGGATCTCCAGAGCTCAGTTGAACCGTGAACTCCAGCTGTCTGACAGAATGAGAGGAGAAACGAATCGGAGGACTCGGGAGGCAGGAAACATTCAGACACTCTGCAGCCACGGAAAACACTAAAGATGAACCGTTCTTCTGCTACACAGCACGGAGCATAATATCAGATGATAAATGAGAACACACCGCACAGATAATTAACCTTTCCCCTCCAGCAACTGCACATTTCCATGAGCATGAATCATACTTACACTGGCAAGTTTAGCAAACAGTTGTGCCAGTTTTGTGTGCAGCATTACAGCGTTCTTGTGACATATGAGGACACACATTTGTATAATGACATGGGTATGACATAGGAGGTGACTTATGAGGACATTACCACATGTCCCCATTTTTCAAAACCCTTATAAATCACACAGAGTGAGTTTTTTTGAGAAAGTAAAAAGGTGCAGGGTTAGGTGTGGGGTTGGTGTACGGCGATAGAAAATACAGTTTGTACAGTATAAAAACCATTACGCCTATGGAATGTCCCCACAATTCACAAAAACAAACCTGTGTGTGTGTGTGTGTTTAGCAGAACAAAAAAATCATACAGGTTTGGAACAACTTGAGGGTGAGTAAATGATGACAGAATTGGGTGAACTATCCCTTTAACACATTGTTTCTTTTTAACACGTCATTTCTATGCAAATTAGGTCATTTATTGATCATTAAAGTTTGCATCTTATTCACAAAGTCTGCTTTTTAAAAAATATATATTGATGATGACAATAATTCATTAAATGATGATGAAATGATAAAGAACATTATATTACATTTTTATAGTGCTGTTATTGTTAACTAAAACTAAAAAAGGCTTTTGATAACTAAATAAATTAAAAATAAAATTTAAATATTAGATGAAAAACATAACTTCACAAAATACCTTGAACTTAAAGGGGTGGATCATTGTGATTTCACTTTTTTTAACGTTAGTTAATGTCTAATGTTGCTGTTTGAGCATAAACAATATCTGCAAAGTTACGAAGCTGAAAGTTCAATGCAAACGGAGATATCGTCTTTTAAAATTCTGGCAGTTTAATGCCTACAAAAACGGCTGGTAGGGACTACAACAAGTTACTTCCCGGGTTCGTGACATCACAAACCCAGATAAACCCCGCCCTCGGGAAAAGGCAGCAAAGGGGGCGAGGCCATGTTGTGCTGCTTTAGAGAAGAGGAAGAGAAAACTAGAGGTGCACGTAAAAATCTGTTCATATATGAATCGCGATTCTGTCTTCAAACGATTCTAATGGATTCACAGGTTTCAAAATCAATGTTATTAATACAGTTCCTCGCGTCCCCCTGCACACGCTCTGCATCTCTCTCTCTCTCTCTCTCAGATCATCAGCTCAGCTCCAACAATGAACTGTTCCAATTATACACTTATTTTCACATAGTTATGAGAAGCGTTAAACATGGACGCGTGTGCAGTTACCGTACTGTATTAAAGCTTTAATCAGGATAAAACCGTATATTAAAAGCATAAGCAGTAGCATTTACAACATCGTATCTAAAAGTATGAGACAACAACCAACAAAAAACATAGGCCTACCATTAAAAGCCATGCCTGCACAGGTTTTGTACGATCCTCTTCAATAATATCCTCTGCTTCGCAATCGGGCTCAAACTGATAAGCGATATTAACGATGCCGTTGTTTACATACAACCTGAGCACATGCCGCCGAGGTGAGGGGCGGGATGATTAGAGGCGGTTTAGCCAATCACAACACACTGGGCTAGCTAATCAATCAGAGTTCATCGCGTATTTCTGAGGGCGGGGCTTCATAAAAGAAGGAAATGATCAGCCCTTTTCTCAGAGAAGGGACAGAGCGGTGTGGAATAAAGGTAAATTTGTGAAAAATAATGTTTTTTTTTTAAACAAAGCATTAACACATGTTAGACTGCACCCCATAAACACAATCAAGCCTAGAAAAAAACCCAGTGAACCACCTAACTAAAAAAACATAAGTTTACTAAAATTAGAACTAAAATCAGTAAAACTAAAACAAAAAACAATTACAAAAAATACAAAAGCACATAACAAATTACTAAAATGTAACACTAATTCAAATTAAAACAATATAAAAATATATAAAATACTATAAAAGCGCATACATACATACAGTATATACACACACAAGTACATGAAAAAATTAATTGAAATTTAAACTAAGTATAAATACACACACACACACACATAAAATATAAAATATAGTGTATATATGTATAAAAGAGGTGATGATATACACGTACTAAATAAGCACTGGTTCAAACTTACAGCTGATCCTGCAGCTCCAGTATGATGATCTCCAGCTGCTCTTTCTCCAGTTTGTGGCTGATTTCGGTGTCTGTGAGTCGTTGCAGTAGAGATTTATTCTGAGAGACAGACTCGGAGAGCTGAGCTTCCCTCAGACGCACCAGCTCCTCCAGATAACCCTAAACAATTATAATAATTCATGTGATCTGTGTCAGTATTTGCTGGTCTTGTTCCCGGGTCCCCCCAGGATGGCTCTCTTATCTAACACACCTGACTGACTCATCCGCTCATCAGTACAGACCCCACGACCTGATTTGAGGGTGCCAGACTAGATTCTGGAAATATGACGCACTCAGGAGCACTGAGAATCACTGATCTAGAAAATATTCACGCTCAGTTTAACATTCAAAGTTCATCTCTCATGATGGGGAAACTAGTATACTGATTACTGAATATGGCACACAGTATATATAGCATATGATCTATATATATTTTATATATGAGTATATATTCTATACTACAGACTATTTAAAAAATGCATGTAAACAGCATGCATTGTGACTGACTAAAAATAGAGAATTTTTACATTTTATATAATTTTGCTTTTTTGGCAGTCGAATTAGTAAAGAAAGAGATGTTAAAATTATTGGTACATTATTGACACAGTTAGGAAATATGAATACTTAAGGGAATAAAGACTTTTCATGGCAATTTTAAAATAATTTAAGAATTGAAACAGCTGAAAATTTGTTTTATTTATTTATTTGTTTGTTTGTTTAAAAACAAACACTGCAAAGCAGTACAGTATCAGAATCAGTGTATATACTACCAATCAAAAGTATGGGGTCAGTAAATTTTTCTTTTTTTAATAAATAAATTTCATTCAACAAGGATGAATTAAATTGACAGGAAAGTGACAGTAAAGACTTTTGCATTGTTACATAAATATATATATATATACACACACACACACACATATATATATATATTACTTTGAACTGACATTAAATTGACAGGAAAGTGACAGTAAAGACTTTTGCATTGTTACATAAATATATATATATATACACACACACACACACATATATATATATATTACTTTGAATTGACATTAAATTGACAGGAAAGTGACAGTAAAGACTTTTGCATTGTTACATAAATATATATATATATACACACACACACACACATATATATATATATTACTTTGAATTGACATTAAATTGACAGGAAAGTGACAGTAAAGACTTTTGCATTGTTACATAAATAAATTATATATATATATATATATATATATATACATACACATACATACGTATATATATATATATATCAATAATATTCATTTTATTACAATATTACTCTTCATATTGAATTATATATATATATATATTATATATAATTTCAAATAAAAAGACGTTTTTAAAATTTATTTGAATTAGTAAAAAATATTTTACAACACTACTGTTTTTACTGTATTTCTGATCAAATAAATGCAGCCTTGGTGAGTGTAAAAGACTCATTTCAAAAACCCTAAACTTTTGAATGATAGTGTTATGCATTACAAAATGATGAATTTACACATTTTTTTAATGCAGCATGCTCAAAAGTTGATTTGCATGCACATCAAATGAAAACCAAGAAAAGGGAAGCTCACAGTGTGCTCTGGTTGTGTACTACGTATTTTGGCAATTGCAGTAGATGTGGGTATTCTATGCATACAAAAATTCAGCATTCTGCACACAGTAGGCTATACATACTGCAGAAATAGTAGGATTAGTAGTTGTCCTCACCTTCTGTTCCAGCACGACTCTGTATTTCTGCTCTAGTCTTTTGCTCTTGCTGTACCAGGTGCTCTGATCGGCCATCAGACTGGCAGCCATGTGGGATTCAGGAGTGCCTGCTTCACTGCCGCTGCTGCCCAGCGTTCTCATTTCCTCCTCATCGCTGCTAATGCTGTCAGAACTACAGCACACACACATACATAATATTCAATCTCATGCATTAGGAAAGCCTAAAGCATGTTCACAAAGCCAGCATGTTTATATGTGTGTTTTTGTGTAGTGCTCTTACGTTTGTGTGAATTTAAGGTACGGTGTGTAGTCAATGATGACAGGACAGCTCTCATCAAGCCCCTCCCCTTTCAGACAGAAACTGTCAATCAAGAATGAAAATTTCAGCATAAGCCAACAAATGCACTTTATTTGATGAGAATGTCACTGTGGCAGAGTATTATGGGAAGTGATGATCCTACAAAACAATACGGAGGCTGTTCTCAGCATCTATATTTGTGTGTGTGTGTGTGTGTGGCTCGTGTCAGCAGGTGTTTATAGAGCACCACCCAAACAATAAATCATCATCATCCTGTCCTGCTGTGGCACAGCTGAATGTCACTGCCACCCACAGATAGGAAGTGAATGACCATGAATATACCTGAAGTCAATGGCATTCAGTCCAATCAGAGTATCTGCCAGAAGCCCCGCCTCCTCGCCCAGAACTACAGCGCCCTCCTCATAAAACCTCCTGACAAACAAACACACAAAACTGATGAAGACCAGAGAACGACAATTAGCACAACTGTTTTCAGCACTGATAATAATAAATGTTTCCTGAGCACAGCAGCATATCTAAAAGATTTCTGAAGGATCATGTGGCGCTGAAGAACGGAGTAATGGCTGCTGAAAATGCAGCTTTGCCATCACATAAATAAACTGTCAAACTATTTCACAATATTACAATGAAACATTTAAAAGTCTTACCAGTCCTGCCACCAAAGTAAAACCACCGAGTTAAACCAGACGTTGACGTACTGCTCAAATATTTTGAAAGCGCCTCAATATTTTGCTAAATAAGTAATATGGTGCTGTTTTTATTTCAGTAAAATCGCTATGTTTAAACAATCTGTGCTGTGGAGAGGCTGACAACAGAGAGAGACCCATAAAAAGATTTGACCACAATCAACCTGCAATCAAATATAAGAGTCTCAGTGTGTGTCTGAGGGCTGTGGAAAGTCACCTTGTAGTTTTGAAGTCTCTCAGAGCTGCAGAGATATATTCAGACAAACGCTTCTCCATTAACGCCACTCTCATCCAGGCACGACCCTGAGAGAAAGAACGAGAGAGGGATGCTCTTACCTGTCAACCACTAAAGCCTTTAACACTGAAGTAACATCACAGCAATTGAGCCGGCAATCTGTCTTAGCTGAGCGCTTGTGATCGAATCATCCGAGACGGATGACAATACTAGATTTAAACAGGACTGATCTGGGAGTTTCCTCTATCACAAAATATCCCCTTTATATTTTATGATAGCATTGTGAAATATGACACCAAACCAGTTATTGTTGTAAACCTGTTGTTACTGTTAAATCTATTAAAAACTATTTCCCGTAATTAACAATAAAAAATATGAAATTAAAAAATACATAGTCATCTAATAAAATATATATAAATATTAAGTAAAAAGAAATGTTTTTTAAATGTTGCATTGGCAACTTACTAAAATTAAATGAATTACTAAAATTACTGAAACTAAAACGGAAATGAATATGAATTAGGTAATTAGGTAAATAAAAAAATTAAAAAGTAATAAAAATAGCAAAAGCACATGAAGGTTCTAAAACATAAACTAAAATTAACCCGAAAACCTAAATGAAATTTTTTTTTATTAAAATAAAAACATTTAGAAATGTTGCATTAGCAACTAACTGAAATTAAATAATTCGAAGTACTAAAATTACTAAAACTTAAATAAATATGCATTAAAGCTACTATAAAATTTCAATAAAACATAAATTAAAGCTAAATACTTTTTTTTTTAATAATAAAAATGACAAAGGCATATAACAGAATTGCTCAAACTTAAACAAAAATTAAAATATAAACTAAGATATAAAAAAGTTAATTCAATTTGTGACCCTGGAGCACAAAACCAGCCTCAAGTCGCTGGGGTATATTTGAAGCAATTGCCAAAAATACATTGTATGGGTCAAAATTATTGATTTTTCTTTTATGCCAAAAATCATTAGGATATTAAGTAAAGATCATGTTCCATGAATGTAAATATATTAAAACTTCATTTTTGATTAGTAATATGCATAGCTAAGAACTTCATTTGGACAACTTTAAAGGCGATTTTCTCAATATTTAGATCTTTTTGCATCCTCAGATTCCAGATTTTCAAATAGTTGTATCTCGGCCAAATATTATTCAGCTTTAAAAGCTTATTTATTCACCTTTCAGATGATGTATAAATCTCAATTTCGAAAAATTGACCCTTATGACTGGTTTTGTGGTCCAGGGTCACATATAATAATAAACACTATAACCGTATATAAATAATACTAAATGACACTGCAACACAGACGTATGTGTCCGTCCTGACCTTTGCTCTAGAGCTGCGGACGTTCTCCATGTTCTCGATGCTGTGGATGCAGCTGTGCGGGACTTTACTACACGCTATACGTATGTAATCCCAGAAACTGCGCGGGCTCTCATAGCCAAACCAGCTGACCTGACCTACAGCAGGAAAACACACACAATGCAGTGTAAAAGCAGTTTGATTCCTCAAGTAGAGCTTTGTACTATTCATTCAGATGCAAGACTCTTCTAGAAAGAGTTCTCTTTTTATTTTTTTTTGCATCCAGTTGTGCTAAGTTTTAGTGCAGTGACATTGTAGGCAAATATCTGAGCTAGTAATTGAAAGCGTTGAATCCGACAAGTGACGAGCTCTGCGGGGATTTTTTGCTTTTTAAGCGGTTTCAGAGAACATACATAAACATGGAGAGATCAAATATTGCTGAAAGGCTGAAAAACAGCGATATGTAAGTGAGCGTGAGAGCTGTGTTGTCATGCTGTGAGAGTCGTCTGAGCTCTTCGAACCCAAAATGAGACACTCAGTGCTGTATTTATACCTCATTACAGCAGCTGGATTGTGTGTGTGTGTGGGTCTTTTAGCAGCATGTATCACAGCATCGCTATGTAATGGTGTGTGAAGCTTCTGGCATAGCTCACTTCAACAGTTATTCTGAGTGCGTGTGTCAGTTCATTTGTTCTCTAAGGATCTGTCAGTTCTTTAGTTTTTTGTATTATATGCACATTATATTATGTATATAAACAATTTATATATTTCTATAAATAAATAAATACATAAAACACTGGTAATTTAGTTTAATGACCACCCTCTCTCTAAGAATGCAACAGGCTGTTTTTTTCCTAAAGTACATTAAAATGTAAATGCCCTATTCACACATTAAATAATACAGGTGTTTTGTTGTGCTCACACGTTGAGGATTTATTATCAAATCCAGGTCAGTTTGCTAAAAATGTGCTGCTCAGATTAAATGCAGTTTACAATTTCAAAGTGAAACAGGACAGTATGTGTGTTTTTTTCCTCACCCTTCAGTCTATGGCTGAGAATATGTTCTAGAATGGAGACAAAGTTGATGAACTCAGCAGATGTGTCGTCTATCGTCTCAAAGCATGAGCGATCAATGAGGGTCTTCACTGAGAACCTGTATACTCAAACACACACAATCACAATCATGAGCACAAAGAAATCTACACAATACAGTTTAAAAACACAAACATTTCTAATAGCTTGTACAGTAAAGCACTGACAAGCTTTAGTTATACAAATAACTAACATAATTATGCTGCCTTCTAAGATTTGGTCATATTTTAATGCATCTCCTAATGCATTAAATATCATTTAATGCTCAGTTATTATTTTTATTTTAGATTTATATATTATATTTTAAGTTCAACATTATTATATATAACAAAAAAAAAAGATTTTAATACTTTTAGTTTTAGTTAACAATAACCATGCTTCTATTTGGACACAAAAAACCCCTCAGGAAACTCAGAGTTCAGCAAGGAGTCAAATAGACGTCTAATTCAGAGCTAAAATAAGCGGAGTCTTCTGTAAAACCCTAAACTAAAGCTTTTTTTAAAACCCTAAAAGAGCGTTTGAGAGTCAAAGGAGATGTCTTGTGTTTTGTGGAGTGCCATTAGTGCCATTTATTATGGTCTCATCAAATGTAATTATGGCATAAATGACTGTCCTTTTCATTATCGGCAGCTCCTGTGCTTTTATGTGTCTCCTCATGACTTCCAAATACCCAGCAGCCTTCATGCAAATGTCATTTCAGAGGTAATTTCACTTCTGACATTTCCTTTCTAAAAACACACAAAAGCAAATGTGGGGGAAAAAGCAATAACGTTTGAGAGTAATGGTTAAATATCATGTTAAGTAACTTAAAACTCAAAACTAGTATGAAATGCACAGCAGCAGATTTGCAAGCATCCTAAAGTTTGTGTGTGTGTTTTTTGGGACGTTAAAAATATACACCCTCTTATGCCTAAAACTATTAAAAATAATTTTGGTAATTGAAATATGTGGGGTTAAAGTAAGTACAGGTTGAAAAAAAAAGAGAGAAATGTTATCTTGTCAGCTAACTGAAGTAAATAAGCAATAAAATAACTAAAACCTAAAAATAAATTAAAGGTAAATAAAAAATAAAACATTTTTTTTTAAACCAAATAAAAAAAAATGACAAAAGCACAGAATAAAATTCCTATAACATAAACGAAGATTAAAATGAGAACTAACAATATAAAAGTTCATTCAAAATATTAATAAATAGTATAACAGTATATAAATCATACTAAAATAACACTTACAGTAAGTATGATAATGTAATGAGGTCCTGTGGCACCAATTATCATATTACTGCTTGAATTGTTTAGCGATACACAGTATTTTATGGCACAAATAGAGATGCGAAGTTACTTTAAAATAGCCTGATGAAAGGTCACACTGACAATATTAAATCTGATACTGATAAAACCATCTCCAAAAATTGAATTTCTGAAGAAGCCATCCTGTCACATCTCACGTAGATTAAACCAGCCTGACATTTCAGTCGAGAAGGTCCCAGATTCTCTGGACTTCTTTGAAGTGATCATTTTAGGGGCATTGATCTAGAGCAATTATTCAGATTACAATCTTCATTCAAGACTTTCTGACAAATAGTGAACGTTCTTTCATGATTCTCTGAACGTCACAGACTGTGCTATCACTCAAAAACAAAAAGACCTGCAGTGATTTATTTCAGTCCTGAATGAACTCTGGATCAGATATCACAGGATAAACATGAGAGGAAATGGATTTTGCTTATCTGTTCCTCTGTTCTTTCTACCTCAGACACACAAAGTAAAAATCGCTGTATTTGTCTGAGCCATGAGCTTCGGTCTTACTGTGATTGTAAATGTGTGGACACGTCACACTTGAAGCTTTTTGATTGGCTGATTCCTGCTGTGCCTCCTCATGGGTATGACATTCATTTGTGTTCAGACAGATGCTTTTCCTGCTTCAAACGTGGCCTTTGTGGCACGGACTAATTAGACATATTAATGTAATTAATCATATTCCAGTGAGTGGCATGAAAAGTACATTCAGTTTTACTTCAAATGTGAATCCGTCAACGCTTTATTACGTTGCTTCTTGAGCATTTCACAAGACTTTCAAAGTGAAATGTCCAGTGAATGGAACAAAAGTGTGTTCAGTTTTATCCACACAAAAAAATTATCTAAGCTGTAAAAAACCTTGGGTTTGAGCACCTACACTAAACTGTACACTAAACCTAACTGATAGTGTTAACAAAAGCAAACATTAGATAAAAACACCATGCTATTTTATCTTGATTCCACAAGTCTTTGATCAAACATTAGATAAAACGCATTTGCTAAAGGAACCATGCCATTTTAGCTTGATTCCCCAAGTCCTTGAACTATTTGATCATGATTCATGATTCACAGGACTTGCCTCGCAAGTGCAATGCTGTACCAGGTGGGCTGCTGAGCAAGTTTACTACATCAGAAATGCCATTGAGCTGGTCATGTGATGCAGACATCAAAATGTATTAGTTCAAAAATCATAGTTTAGAAAAGATTTAAGTAGAGGCATGTTTTTCCAGTGAGCCTAAAAGTTGCATATTTTGCATTATATATTGTAGCATGTGCAAAAAACACATTGTATGCAACAAAAAATGGTAGCACACAGCAAACTTTTATCAGAAAATAAGCTGAAATCACTTCTGATTCATTGGTCACACTAAATAGAAGGTCAAATAGAGTGTGCTGCATTTTGGGATACAGTGCCCAGTGCAGTGTGATCCGGTTGTATACTGCACATTTTGGCAGATGTAGCAAGTAAACCAGGTAAAACAAGATGTACTGTATCCACTTCAGCAAAGAGATACTACAATTCTCAGCAATGCATTATGTGACACAGAATGGGTCACAACGTTCTCAAGGTATTGCGTATTATTCATTCCCTAGTTAAAATCCTTACTCATAACCAGCTATAAGACACAAGCTTTTCTAATATAAAATCAAAAATCTAATATAAAAACTGCCATTAAATGGTGTAAAACTATTCATATGGACCATCTGCTTTTTTTATCATGTCCAAACGTTGTCTTTGTTTTTTAGATGAGTGCCATGATCCTACCATACCTTTTCTTTTTTTAAAACATACCACATTTTTTGACATGCTTTCTTTTAAGTAGCTTAGAGCACAATGTAAATGCCATGTTGCATGAATCATTCACTTTTTCTAAGGACTCCATCTATACGACGTGATGCTGTGATGACAGATCTGAGACCAGCGCTTCTGTGTGCAGTACATCATCTCATCTCAGGCTCCAGCATCAGCATTTTACAAAAACATAACAGTGACATCTTCATCACACATATTCCGCGCGCCGGTGTGCTGCAGTGATAATGAATGCGTAATCAGATTTTACCTGCACACGGTGATCAGATTTCTCCTCTCTACGGCTCTGATACACGCTGCCGCTTTTTTACGAGCCCCGTTGAACCCGAGGTTTAAGGATGCCATGATAGCTGTTTATTTCCTCGCGTCTTTTTCTCTTCTGATGCTTTGGACCAGTCTCCAGCTGACTGACTCTCACCGGAGCCGTAGAAACGGAATAAGCGAGTGGAAAGGCAATTAGCATGATATGGGTATAGAAAATGGGCGTGGTTTGGGATTTTTTTTTTTTTTTAATAATTGTCTTATTTTAACTCTTCGTTTGAGGTTTTTATTTGATATTAATGTCATTAAAATGTATCTGTTATTTTTGATCATTAAAATGTATCTGAAGAGGACAGCGGTGTCATATGCTCTCTGTTACTTTTCTCAGCGCTGGTTAGGATTAACCAATCACGATTTGGAAAATCCGTTTTATAGATATCGATGAGGTAGATATCCATTTTCCTGGTAGAAAACAATCCTTGTATGTAACAGATTTAACCGATTACATATATTGGTGTACACATGTTTCCAATAAGACAAACGCCGTGAGAGGTGAAGTTGCTTCAGTGAAGGAATTGTCTTTCAGAGCCAAAATGCGACCCCTGCAGGAGGATTATTCTGTGCTTCATAAGAAACTATTAAAGGGGTCATATGATGATTTTTAAAAGATCATTATTTTGTGTATTTGGTGTAACGGAATATGTTGACATGCTTTAATGTTCAAAAAACACATTCTTTTTCAAGTCCCTCCTTCCACAAGCGCAGTCTGCTCTGATTGGCCAGCTGACCCAGTGCATTGTGATTGGCCGAACACCGCAAGCACTCGTAGGAAATGTAACGCCCCTTACCATAATCGCGAGCTTCATCTTTCAAAATAAATGTAAAGACAGAGCCCGAAAGGGGAACAGAGTCGCGTGACAGACACAGTGATGAAGCTGGTATGTGTTTGCAGCACACAAGCCACGGTTAAGACAGCTGACTCCACTGTGATGTGACCCCCTCTCTCTCTCGCTCTTGCTCTCTCTCTCTCTCTCTCTCTCAGGATGCCATGATAGCTGTTTATTTCCTCGCGTCTTTTTCTCTTCTGATGCTTTGGACCAGTCTCCAGCTGACTGACTCTCACCGGAGCCGTAGAAACGGAATAAGCGAGTGGAAAGGCAATTAGCATGATATGGGTATAGAAAATGGGCGTGGTTTGGGATTTTTTTTTTTTTTTAATAATTGTCTTATTTTAACTCTTCGTTTGAGGTTTTTATTTTATATTAATGTCATTAAAATGTATCTGTTATTTTTGATCATTAAAATGTATCTGAAGAGGACAGCGGTGTCATATGCTCTCTGTTACTTTTCTCAGCGCTGGTTAGGATTAACCAATCACGATTTGGAAAATCCGTTTTATAGATATCGATGAGGTAGACATCCATTTTCCTGGTAGAAAACAATCTTTGTATGTAACAGATTTAACCGATTACATATATTGGTGTACACATGTTTCCAATAAGACAAACGCCGTGAGAGGTGAAGTTGCTTCAGTGAAGGAATTGTCTTTCAGAGCCAAAATGCGACCCCTGCAGGAGGATTATTCTGTGCCTCATAAGAAACTATTAAAGGGGTCATATGATGATTTTTAAAAGATCATTATTTTGTGTATTTGGTGTAACGGAATATGTTGACATGCTTTAATGTTCAAAAAACACATTCTTTTTCAAGTCCCTCCTTCCACAAGCGCAGTCTGCTCTGATTGGCCAGCTGACCCAGTGCATTGTGATTGGCCGAACACCGCAAGCACTCGTAGGAAATGTACCATAATCGCGAGCTTCATCTTTCAAAATAAATGTAAAGACAGAGACCGAAAGGGGAACAGAGTCGCGTGACAGACACAGTGATGAAGCTGGTATGTGTTTGCAG